GTAACTTACCCGATTTTCAGTGTAGTTGGCAATTACAACACCAACAAACAGCGTCAAGCCAATCATGCAACCAATAAAGACGTAGATATGGATGAAAACAACGGCCCACTGAAATTTAATTCGATTTTGATAGCTCGAAAAAGTAAACGGTAAATAAAAAGGCTGTAACGACGGGTTATTTTATAATGTTGCCCTTACGTTTTGTATCTTGACTGCTCACGGTGTTTTGAAGGAGTTGTTTGGGGTCTCGCAAGGAACTCTCGAAGTATCTACCCATCGAGTGTTTGAAAGGATGAATATAAGAAAAAGAAGCCATCGGGACGATTTACGGTGTAACCATGTGTCGCTTTAACTTTGCACCGACCATGATGGAGTTACCGGAGCCTCCGATTTAATTACCTTCAAATCTTAAAAGCACATGTTGCTAGCTAAAATGAAATTTCTATGCGTTTTCAGCCAAGGAGGGTCAACCCGAACTGTAGGACGAGATGTTCTTCTGCTCTTCTCCCTCAAGACAGCCGCCGCGGGTAATCCCTCTACGCTAGAGGCCATAAACGAAACCTTCACCGTTGCATTTTATCGCCGGTGCCCAATGCCTGTGCTGTGCCGAAGAGTGTTTCAGGTGGCACAGCTTGGCAAATTACTGGTCGAAGAACGGAATCTTCAAATTGAACAATCTTCGCTTTACTCAAGCAACGTTTCCTTATTTACATATTTAACCACTCGAATGCACTTTAGTGTACGCACATGAACTGTCGTCGATGTATTTCACAAGCGGCGAGACTACTTGAGATTTCGAAAGCGTCTTAGATTCTGTACCAAGCGAATATTTTTGAATGGGGTCGTTCGAAAATATATATGGACCACAAGTTACTTTGCTAACTTGGGAACTCCGAAAACGACATAACAACTAACTTATGTACTTTTAACCAAAGATGAGCTGGAGGCTTCCTACAACTGAGAAGTGCTTGTGAGAATTTGATCCGAGTTTGGAACCAGTAAAGGTAATTATGTACTTAACGAGCAGCTAACATTGATGTGACTGAGGGTTTTGAGAGATTTCAGTGCATTTCATTTCTGTGCAATGCGACAAATTGAACCCCTCTATAAAAACTGGAGGATTGCTTCAGTTCATTTCTCTTCTCACAGAGGATCCACAGTTGACGATGAAACATAAGATGGATATTCCCGCTATAAACTGATTGAGTAAACCTTTTACTGATTAGACGATAAAGGTAAGTGACCATAACGATTGTCGATCTTGTGCTGGCCTTACGAGTAATTCCGCAAGAAGTATATACAGTAAACCCGTCGGCCTGGTAGTGTCTGAGTCTGGTTTATAATCAGATAGGTTTGTTGTATTGTATTAGAAAACTCACGGGCCCTTGTCGGCTCCACAAAATATCTCTGATTACATTCCAACCTTTGTATGACAATGTCTCGAACAAAGCAAGCATAGCGTTGCCGACGTGATCAAAATTGAAATTTCGTGGATTTGTCCTGAAAGCGATAATACGGTAAGTCTCTGTAGGAAGGAGGTTTTGCTATCACGGACCATACTCGTGGCACCAGTATCTTTGGATGCATCTGCTCGTCATCTTTTCCGTACACTTCAAGTCGAGTTACAAAAATCTTTTGCCAGAATATTCCTGTACAGTTTTCCTGAAAAAATATAGTAGCAGGCTGTTATCTAGCGAAATTTCAACGAGAGGAGTTGATAGAATTACCCTTGAGGTGATGGTTGGGTCGTTACAGGCAGCCAGTTTGCCTCCGACAATTTGAACTCCAAAACTTGCAAATATAAACATTACAACAATCATAAGAATGGTTACCTGAAATTGCAAATTTGATTACCTCAGTTAAGGAAGGGTGGGCAAACACCTGCGGTTGGTCTTTTGTTCATGGCCCACATACGATTCTAATAAAATTCACTTATTTGTTCTTTATTTCATCCCCATTCTGAATCTTCACAGATACATAGTGCGGTTAAGCCCATTTCCATGGTTTCCGAGTGGGGGGCTGAGGTATTGAAGCGACAAAAGCGAAAAATAAAAACTAAATCACCAGCAGAATTTCTTTGAATCCACGGAAGAACTCCATAACAACTCTCCTAATGTGAGGAACCAGTGTATATACCCGTAGAGGCCTCATTGCACGGAATATCATTAGAAGTTGAGCAAAGGAGTTGATCTCGACATGACGAGGCATCCACATCAGAAACGCTACGCTCGTCTGAAAAATAGCTTTTGTAGAATCATGGCGTTTAGACGTATATTTTGAACCAAGCCTCTTCTTCCCGAGCTCGCTTCTCACAGTTATGCTACAATATGGTGGAAAAGCACCTTATCCATCCCCATCCGCATTTTTACCGTAGTATCGGAAGCG